TCAGTTTTGAGCCAGAAAAAGACTAGTCATGTTGACTGTAATTTTGCAGCACAACTTAACTTGAACCTTGTCGTAAAGAAATGTTAAGAGAGATGGGAATGTTTGGATTTGTCTACTCTCATTCCATCTTAGTTTGTGTCTGAGTCTCTGCTTTCTGTTTGCTGGAGAGTCCTGCAAACACAAAATAGCTGGACTGGACCTGAACAACTGTCTGTGCAGTCCTAAGCTAGGAACTTGTGCTCGGTCAGGGATGCCTAATCCTGTTCCTGGAGATCTACCTTACTGCAGAGTTCTGCAGCCACCTTGATCAAACACACCTCTCTTTAATTACCAAGTGCTCCTTCAGATCCTACTTAGTTGGTTTAGTTGATCAGGGATGGAGCTGAACTCTCCAGGATTGCAGATCTCCAGGAACAGGATTGGGCACCCCCAGTCAAGGTCAATTCCTTGTCTGGCATGAAGCTTTCTTATATTTTAGTTTTGTCCAGTTATAAGGTAGCCTAGGTACGAGTGGATCTTTGTGGCTCTGGTGACCACTTGACATGAATTGATAATCATATCAGCAAAAAAGCAGATCAATAGTTCTCAGAAGACCCCTTCCTTACTAGCCACTTCATAATCTCAGGACATTAATTCTTTCTCTTCTGCAAAGAGCTGCAAAGAGATGTTCTTGTCTGCTGATTTGGATTCTAGGTACTCTGATTAAAGTGATTCTGATCATAGGTGTCGACTCATTTGATGGAATCTGCATGATCATGTGGAGAACATTGAGACAGCACTGCGCTGACCCCAATATCCAAGGTGTCGACCTTTACAATCAACTGGTTATTGGGACCGGGAGTGATTGCGATAACAGCAAAACAGTTTCTCGACTAGGTCAAACAAATCTTTCATAGAGTTGGACCAGATAAAACAGGACTTAACAGAAGTCAGGACCATAAGCGCGGCTGCTAACTGACTAAAATTCCAAATAAAGCACTGGTTAAAGTTAAAAAATTATTGAAGGGGCCATGCATATATGTCTTTGACTTTGTTCAATCCCCTTTACATAAAATAATTAAACACCAGTCACTCATGAAATTAGCATTTCTCAGTCTTGACAAACAGCTGATTCTCCTAAAGGTGCTGGAGAAGATGCTGCGTGTGGGACTGGAGATCTGGCGAGAAAATCAGAATGGTGTCCAAATACACAAAAACAAAAAAGTTAGAGAATGTTATTGATTAAGGCCTGGGATAAAGCAGGGCCATTGACCAATCTAGTCAGCATGATGGTTATGCCTAACGAGCCAAAGATGGCCCAAAATAACAGACAGTAGGGGACTTTAAAACAAAGAACAAAATGGTCTCTTGATAATTGCCAGAAGTGGTAATACTCACTGGACTACACACTGGGCGATCTTAGCATGGGTGTTGATAGATGAGCAGAGTGTGTGTCAAACCTCCAGTTGCACAGCCAGTTCTATACACAAAAGTTTGAGTGCAAGCCCTCCAAAACCCAGACAGAAATGGCTGCCTCATTCTACTCACTTGTGTCACAGCAAGAGTGCACAACTCAGTAGTATAGCCTGCTACAGAGCATGTCCTTGATGCACAGTGGCCAACAGTCGAAAGGCCTTCTGGCCATACTCACAGTGGCCGTTTCTCCTGTGCTCTGCCCATCTGCAGGGAGATGACAGAAGAGATCTTGGCATGATCGTCAGCATATGATCATCAAAGAACACAACTTTCAATAAAGTCAGAAATTATTGACATTTACAGAGCTCACTCGAATAGCGTGGTGGGTTATCGATGTGCGGCTCTTCTGGAATGGAGCAGGAATGCCCATTCCTGGCAGAGATTGGAGCTAAGCCATGAGGTGTGAGACTTGGGCCACCAGGCATTCCACCTTGTTTGGCCACAGCCAAATACTCAATGTGCCTTTCCAGCATGGCATCCTGAAACTCAACTGTCAACAAAAAAGTGACTCTCCAGCTGAAACTATCTTGACTTGTTAGCTATCAAGACATGGACAAAGGATCTAAATTCTGGGAGATGCAGATTCAACAAATAGCTTCATTTGTAGAGCAGATTAATGTCTTTGTATCATTGCATCTGATGTATCAAGTAGAGTGTATGGGTGTTTCCCTGAACTGGGTTGCTGCAGGAAGAGTATCTGGAATATATGCTGGAATAGTTGGTGGTTCATTCCCCTGTGGTGGCCCCTGATAAGTAAGGAACTAAGCTGAAGGAATGATGAAAATACTTCATACATCAAGAAAATACATCAACGATAGCAGACCATGTACAAATACTAAGAAATTCTTCCGTGGAATTGTATACCTAAAAATTGTACAGGTCATACAGGGTTAACTATATAGTATTGTTTCAATTGAAAGTTGTATGTTACTGTCAATTTTAACACCTATGGGGTTTTATTTGTCTTTTTTTTCTCCAAAGAAAACCTGATGCCAGTCAAAGAGGAGAGTCAAGATCAGAATGAAACAGAAGAGAAGGATCAGCATGAGGAATATCTGGATTTCAGTTCTGGAGAAAAATCAGAAAAGACAAAAACCTCCTCACAAACAACAGCCGTATCTAATACCTGCCACCAGTGTGGAAAGAGTTTCGCTCACAAACAATACCTTACAAAACATATGAGGATTCACACTGGAGAAAAGCCTTACACTTGCCCACAGTGTGGAAAGAGTTTCACCTGGCAAGGCAATCTTACAGAACACATGAGGATTCACACTGGGGAAAAGCCTTACACTTGCCAACAGTGTGGAAAGAGTTTCAATCGCATACAAAACTTAACAGAACATATGAAGATTCACAATGGAGAAAAGCTTTTCACGTGCCAACAGTGTGGAAAGAGTTTCACACGGAAACAAAACCTGACAACCCATATGAGGTTTCACAATGGAGAAAAGCCATTCAATTGCCAACATTGTGGAAAGAGTTTTACTTGTAAACAACACCTTATATGCCATATGAGGACGCACACTGGAGAAAGGCAACATACCTGCCAACAGTGTGGAAAGAGTTTCACACGGAAACAAAACCTTGCAACCCACATGAGGATTCACACTGAGCAAAAGCCATTCAATTGCCAAGATTGTGGAAAGAGTTTTACTTGTAAACACCATCTTATATACCATATGAAGATGCACACTTGAGAAAAGCGACACACTTGCCTACAGTGTGGAAAGAGTTTCACACGGAAACGAAACCTTACAGAACACATGAGGATTTACACTGGAGAAAAACCTTACACTTGCCAGCAGTGTGGAATGAGCTTTGCATATAAAAAAAAATCCCTTAATACCCATGTGATGCTTCATACTGGATATGATATACTTCAACCTGACACCTGTGTTTCTGACAGAGAGTAAAACTTAGTTTTCATGAGAGGATTCACAATTAGATGTAACCAAATCAGATTTCAATAGTGTGGAGATTCATAGACAGGAATCACTGTAATAACTTACACAAGAGGAGAGGATGTCATCACAGGTTGCAATTAAATGCATCCCTAAAAAGGGTTAATTATCCAAGAACCCATAAGGTGAGGCTTTCTCTGACTCCACCATCTGTATCCACTATCAACCAGCTCCAACTACATCATCCGAATCGTGCCATCAACAGACCAGCTGTGCCAGGATTTCCAAGGGTGTAGGTTTGCTCTTGACATTGGTGGGGAGTCTGAGGACCTATAAATCTCCCTGAACCGAAATTCCGCTTGCTACTCTGAGAGATTAGGAGAACTGACAGGGATCATGCTGAGCTGCGGCCCTCCAGGAACTGAGTTTGACACATGTGGACTAGAGGAATGACTAGAGGCAGAGGTCACCACAATGTTGTGTGATGGCATCAGGAGTCACCTCTGGAGAAGTGGTCCATTTTGTTTATGTTACTTTATTACCCAGTAAAAACTCTGTTATTTTGTGTATATGGGGGTCAGATGTGCACTGCAGTCTGAAGACAATATATATGTGTGTTTAACTGTCTACTACAGGGTTGAATAAAATAGCGGAAAGCCGCTCTTGGTGTCATCTTGGTGTTCGAGAGTAAAAAGCAGATCTGTTACATTTACAATATGCAAACTTCACACATTAAAAATGTAAAGTAAAAACTTTTAAAATGTTTTTATAATTTCATCAACCTGAATATTAGAGTCACATACAATAAAAAAACCATAAAGGGGCATCATAAGATAATGTGCATTTTAACATTTGAGCAGACACTCATTAAGCTGTTTTCTCTGTTTAAAGAGAGACCCGACTCCTGGAACAAATAGTGTCTGCACATAAACACTGTTTAGAGTTTAAGATACATGTGTTAGTAATTATTATAAACATTTATTAATTTATATAATACAACCAAAAACTCGAGTATTATTATTGTTGTTGTTTAAGAATTTTTATGTATAAATACCTCTGCAATTATATTACGTCCACGGGACTTTTATTTTGATATACATTTGTGACGTCATAAGGGTGCGCCGCACTGCCGCATTGTTTGTTTCGACTGGAGAAAGGTTTGTGTTTTAAACAGTTTGTGTTAAAATTGATAGTGTTTAGACATTTATTTAGACTTTATAATATTAATAGCCTATGAGTTAAATATCATTCAGTGTGACATTATAATGTGTTCTACAACATTTATGAACAGTATTGTAAGAGTAAACTGCCTCAGTTTATTATGAACAGCCAGGAGTGATCTGAGTAAACTGAACACTGAAATCCAACTCAGACAAATCATCAACCTTTAATCAATCTTTTCACCACAGTGAGCACCAAGAGTCCTAAATTCTACACTTAAATGAAAACTTAGTGAAGTTAGTAGTATTATTTATTCTACTAAAAAACACTCTGACCATATATAGGGTACAGATAAATAAACACAAGTATAAGGCATTATTACTAAATGTGATGCATCTGTGAAGTTACTGTGCTTTAATTACTCTTTAATGCTAGTTTTGAGTGTGAATTTTTGATTGATTGATATTGTCTGATTAATAAAGGCCAGTAACACTGACTACTGAACTAGAGAGCTGATGGAGACTGGATTTGTGTCTTTCTGTTTATTATTCTGATCTTCAACAGGACAAACACAGAAGATCTGCTGAAGCGACTGAGCTCAGACTGTTATAAAGATGGCGTTTATTAAAGAGGAGAGTGAAGACATCAAGATTGAAGAAACATTCACAGTCAAACATGAAGAGACTGAAGAACAAACAGGTTGGTTTTCATCCTCAAAGCTCAACATTTGATATTAAAATATTAATTTATGAAATCAAGCATGTCTCCTGCTGCAAAAGTAAAATTTACATTATTTTGCTTTAGAGAGGATTAATCCTGGAGGCCAAAATCGAAATTAAATGTTTATTGAATCAGAGCATGAGTTTGAAGTAGCAAGCAAATAATTCAAGTCTAGAAGCAAGGCAAAGGCTGTCTGTAATTTAAAGTCTTGGTCAGGGGTGCCCAATCCTGTTCCTGGAGATCTACCTTACTGCAGAGTTCAGCAGCAACCTTGATCAAACACACCTCTCTTTAATTACCAAGTGCTCTTTCAGATCCTACTTACTTGGTTTAGTTGATCAGGGATGGAGCTGAACTCTCCAGGATGGCAGATCTCCAGGAATAGGATTAGGCACTCCTGGTCAAGGTCAATTCCTTTTCTGGCATGAAGCTTTCTTATATTTCAGTTTCTTTGAGTTATAAGGTAGCCTAGGTTTGAGTGGATCTGTTTGAGTGGATCTAGGTTTGAGTGCATGATCATGTGAAGAACATTGAGACAGCACTGCGCTGACCCCAATATCCAAGGTGTCGAAAGTGTTTTTACAACCTTCAAATTGGTAGTGTCAGGATTTTTATTCATTCATTCTTTTATTTTCTTGTCGGCTTAGTCACTTTATTAATCCGGGGTCGCCACAGAGGAATGAACCACCAACTTATCCAGCACATGTTTTACGCAGCGGATGCCCTTCCAGCCTCAACCCATCTCTTGGAATCAGGATTTTTATGTCATTGGAAAATACTTAAGGGTGGCACAGTGGCTCAGTGGTTAGCACTGTCACCTCACAGCAAGAAGGTCCCTGGTTAGGTTCCTGCTGGGTCAGTTGGCACTTCTGTGTGGAGTTTTCATGTTCTCCCCGTTGGCCTGAGTTCCCTTTGGGTGCTCCGGTTTCCTCCACAGTCCAAAGACATGCGCTATAGGTAAATTGGTTAAGCAAAAATTGTCCAAAGTGTGTGTGTGAATGTGAGTGTACGGGTGTTTCCTAATACTGGATTGCCGCTGAAAGGGCATTCGCTGTATAAAACATATGCTGGAATAGTTGGTGGTTCATTCCGCTGTGGTAACCCCTGATGAATAAGGGACTAAGCCGAAGGAACGATGAATGAAAATACTTAAAAGAACGACCATGTAAAACACTTGGAAATTCTTTGGTTGAATTGTATACCTAACAATTGTACAGGTCATACAGGGTTAACTATATAGTATTGTTTCAACTGAAAATGGTTACTGTCAATTTTGAAACCTATGGGTTTTTTGTCATTTTTGTCTCCAAAGAAAACCTGATGCCAGTCAAAGAGGAGAGTCAAGATCAGAACGAAGTAGAAGAGAAGGATCAGCATGAGGAATGTCTGGATTTCAGTTCTGGAGAAAAATCAGAACAGACAAAAACCTCATCACAAACAACAGCCAAATCTCATACCTGCCACCAGTGTGGAAAGAGTTTCACTTGGAATTGTTACCTTGCCATCCATATGAGGATTCACACTGGAGAAAAGCCTTACACTTGCCAACAATGTGGAAAGAGTTTCAATCGGCGAGAAAACTTAAGAGAGCATATGAAGATTCATAATGGAGAAAAACTTTACACTTGCCAACAGTGTGGAAAAAGCTTCACTTGGAAACAAAACCTTACATCCCATATGAGGATTCACACTGGAGAAAAGCCATTCAATTGCCAACATTGTGGAAAGAGTTTCACTTATAAACAACACCTTACAGACCATGTGAGGATGCACAATGGAGAAAAGCCTTACAATTGTCAACATTGTGGAAAGAGTTTCACTTGGAAAAAAAACTTTAAAAGCCATATGAGGATGCACAATGGAGAAAAGCCCCATGCCTGCCTACAGTGTGAAAAGAGTTTCACTTGGAAACATCACCTTGTAACCCATATGAGGATTCACACTGGAGAAAAACAACACAGCTGCCTACAGTGTGGAAAGGGTTTCACACGGAAACTAAACCTTACAAAACACATGAGGATCCACACTGGAGAAAAGCCTTACACTTGCCAACAGTGTGGAAAGAGTTTTTCTTGGAAACAATACCTTACAGATCATATGAGGACTCACACTGCTCACACTGCAGAAAAGCAACATACCTGCCACCAGTGTGGAAAAGGTTTCACTCGCAAACGAAACCTTTTAAATCATATGATTATTCACACAGGAGAAAAGCCTTACACTTGCCAACAATGTGGAAAGAGTTTCAATCAGAGACGAAACTTAAAAGAACATGAGAAGATTCACAATGGAAAAAAACTTTACATTTGCCAACATTGTGGAAAGAGTTTCGCTCGCAAACAATACCTTATAATCCATATGAGGATTCATACAGAAGAAAAGCCTTACAATTGCCAACAATGTGGAAAGAATTTTTCTTGGAAAAAATACCTCACAGACCATGTGAGGATTCACACTGGAGAAAAGCCTTACACTTGTCAACAATGTGGAAAGAGTTTTAATCGGAGAGAAAACGTAAAAGAGCATATGAAGCTTCATAATGGAGAAAAGCCTTACACTTGCCAGCAGTGTGGAAAGAGTTTTACTTGGAAACAAAACCTTACATCCCATATGAGGATTCACACTGGAGAAAAGCCCTATGTCTGCCTACATTGTGGGAAGAGTTTCACTTGTAAACAAAACCTTACAAAACACATGAGGATTCACACTGGAGAAAAGCCTTCACTTGCCAACAGTGTGGAATGAGCTTTGCATGTATAAATATCCCTTAATACCCATGTGATGCTGTATACTGGATAGAAGCCTGACACCTGGGTTTCTATTAAAAAAAAAACTTAAATTTCATAAGAGGATTCACAATTAGAAATAACCAAATCAGATTTCGTTAGTGCGGAGACTCAGACAGGAATCACTGTAATAACTTACACAAGAGGAGAGGATGTCATCACAGGGTGCAATTAAATGCATCCCTAAAACAAGTCAGTTTTCAAGGAAAAAAAAACAGGTTTTTGAGAACACTCCCCTTTTGTCCCCTCCCCTTCCCATGCACTTGTCAATGAAGTCATCTTGCCAGAAGTCTTGCATCATCTACAAAAACTTGATTTTACCAAGCCTCAAGCAGTTTCACAAAGCATCCTGCGACCCCTCACATCTGTGTGTGCAAGTACCAAGCAATCGGGTCAGTCCATCAGAACTCTCACAATCTGTTAAAGATTTGTAATTTTGCCAAGAACCTAGGCCACAGGAAGGATTCACAGCCAACAACATCATCCTCTAGCATCTGTATTCCCTGGTAACCAGCTCCAACTACATCATGCAAATCCTGACCAGACCAGACCAGCGGTGCCGGGATTTCCAAGGGTGTAGGTTTGCTCTTGACATTGATGGGGAGTCTGAGGACCTATAAATCTCCCTGAACCGAAATTCCACTTGCTACTCTGAGAGATTAGGAGAACTGACAGGGATCATATTCCCCCACTGTGCATTTTTATTTTAAGCTGTAAAAAATGTGAGATTCTCTGCCATTTATGTTTTTCAGGTTGCAATGCTAAGAACTTAACAAGTGATGGAATTATAAACTCCAGTCGCTTTTATCCCTCACCCAAACTCAGAACTGGACTACACAAGAGTAGGACCCTGCAAGTTACAGAAGGTCCTGCAGAACACCACCCCTCCCCCCGGCCACCAGACTGTAAAGGAACTACAATGCTTCATGGGCTTTGCCAATTTCTACCTACAATCCATCCACATTCTTATTATATTACCTCTTCACTCACTTCACTTCTTGAGAGAAAGATGGAGACTCTTCCTAGGAACCCTGCTGCCCACTGTTAGGAATTAAATTAAAAATCATTAATCAAAAAGAGATTTAACCAAAACGTAACAAAATAACAGGGATTAAAAATATAATCCCTGGTGCCCCCGCGCACTCTCTCCCCAAAATATTTACCAAAAACACAACCACTAAGAATTAACAAGAAAGTATGATTTATTTACAGAAATAAGGAGCAAAAATAACATCAGGAGGGGTTCAGCCATAATAAATGACAATAAACCAAGCTAACTAAATTAGATTAAACTTCCCTAGAAAACAAATAAAATGAAATACAGAAAACTTACCTCCCTACTAACAAACACAGGAGAAAATGAAAATAACAAATAAGGCACCAAACCTCCCTACATGCTCCAAGCCCGACAGGGAGACAGAAAACCGGGTTTCAATCGCCGGTTAAAAATTAACACACCGGCATCTCACAAAGCCACAAAGATATACATGCAAACACTCATTGGATCACGTTCTCAACTGAGTACAAGCGGGGAAATCGAGAGAAAGCGGGGAGCCATCGAACCCATGTTCTCTGCAGGTTTTTATAGTCGCCGCCAATCCAAGCACCAATCATGGTCCGTCCCAACGTAATCCGCTGCACCTGCGAATACTTAGAGCGAGAAAGAGAGAGAGAGCGAGAGAAAGACCAGGGTTGGGGTCATGCTGTTACTGTGATCCTCTACTTCTCTACCCTTAAGCTTACTTCTCCAGGAAACTCACCGGTGGAGCAAAGTTATGACATTGGCAATCACAAACACAATCTTCATCCTCATGTCACTGCTCAGTCTGTGCCATGTCAAAGACACCCAGATCTTTGCCTGGTGACTCTGATCCCGTATTGGTATTGACAGTGTTTCTGACTTCCATAACTCTGATGGTTTTATCTCTGTTATAGTTGCTGTAGATTGTTTCTCCAAAGCCTGTAAACTCATCCCTCTCCCTGGTTTACCTACTGCAATAGATACAGCAGAACTTTTCTTCCAGCTTGAGCTGAAACTATAGCTCACATGTATTGACCGGGGCCCAGTTTACACCCTTATCTGGAAAGCTTTTCTTCAAACTACTCACCATTTCTGTTAACCATTCTTCTGGTTGTCCCCCACAGTCAAATGGCTTGGAGCTCAGACAGTATCTCCGGTGGTACTGTCATGAAAACCAGGACAAATGGAACTGTTTGCTCCTGTGAGCTGAGTATGCACAGAAACCCCTGCACCAAGATACCACTGCCTTAACATATTTTCAGTGCATACTAACCAGCCACCACTCTCTCCCTGGATGGAGGAACTCTTCAAGGTTTCAGCTGTTGACTACTGGTTTAGAGAGAGTGTGGGATTTACTCCATCTGCAGAAACCCTTAGCAAAGAAAGTAAAAGACAAGACATCTAAGACACTCCCCTATCAACCTGACGACAAGACATGGCTGTTCTGGACCAGCCATCAATCTACACAGTCAATGAGATCTTGGATTTGTGATGCAGGGTCTCCCATCTGGAATACCTGGTCGAATGGGAGGACTATAGACAAGAGCAGGGGTGTCAAACTCAGTTCCTGGAGGGCCGCAGCCCTGCACAGTTTAGTTCCAACCATGCTTCAACACACTTACTTGTAGGTTTCAAACAAGTCTAAAGGACTCAATCAGTTTGATCAGGTGTGTTTAAATAGGGTTGGAACTAAGCTGTGCAGAGCTGCGGCCCTCCAGGAACTGAGTTTAACACATGTGGACTAGAGGACTGACTAGAGGCAGAGGTCACAACCATGTTGTGTGATGGCATCAGGAGTCACCTCTGGAGAAGTGGTCCATTTTGTTTGTTACTTTATTACTCAGTAAAAAGTAGCTTATTTTGTGTATGTAGGGGTCAGATGTGTACTGCAGTCTGAAGACAATATATGTTTGTTTAATTGTCTACTAAAGGTTTGTTTTACTGTTCATTTTATTTACATTTTATTTAGCTATGCACACATTTTTAGTTAGTTTCTGGTGTATTTTATTTTTACATATACATTTTTGTATGTGGGTTTTAAGTTTGGTTTCAGGATATAAAAGAATAATGTGTCCATTGTGTTGTAACCGGAAAATAATACACGTTTTCCAGTACATTTTAATGTACCCTTATATATGTAAATGTGGGTAAATTGTAAAATGTATGAAATGCCTTTACATGCATACTGGAGAAAATAATTAATCTGAACACACAATGCTGCTGTGTATTGATGAGGGGTCAGATGTGCACTGCAGTCTGAAGACAATATATATGTGTTAAATTGTCCACTACAGGGTTGAATAAAATAGTGGAAAGCAGCTCTTGGTGTCTTTGGGAGTAAAAGCAGATGTTGTATTAAGATCATATAAATTTCACACATAAAATGTAAAGATAAAACCTTTTTATAATTTCATCAACCTGAACTTTGTACAGTCATATCTGGTAAAAGTAAACCATAAAGATAAATAGTGAGATAATAATAAAGTATGTTTAAACATTTGAGCAGACACTCATTTAGCTGTTTTCTCTGTTTAAAGAGAGACCCGACTCCTGGAACAAATAATGTCTGCACATAAACACTGTTTAGAGTTTAAGATACATGTGCTAGTAATTATTATAAACATTTATTAATTTATTTAATACGACGAGAAACTTCAGTATCATTACTGTTGTTGTTTAGGAACTTTTTTGGATAAATACCTCTGCAAATTTAATCATGTACGCGGGACTTTTATTTTGATATGTATTTGTGACGTCATAAGGGTGCGCCGCGCTGCTGACGACTTTGTTTCAACTGGAGAAAGGTTTGTGTTTTAATCAGTTTAGGTGTTAAACTATTAGTGTTTAGACATTTATTTAGACTTTATTGTCACAATGCGAGTTAAGTATCATTCAGTGTGACATTATAATGTGTTATACTACATTTATGAACAGTATTGTAAGAGTAAACTGCCTCAGTTTATTATGAACAGCCAGTAGTGATCTGAGTAAACTGAACACTGAAATCCAACTCTTAGACAAATCATCAACCTTTTATCAATCTTTTCACCACAGTGAGCACCAAGAGTCTTAAATTCTACACTTAAATGAAAACTCAGTGAACTTTATTTATTCTTAATAATAATAATAATAATAATAATAATAATTCATTACAATTGTATAGCGCTTTCCTGGGCACTCAAAGCTTTACTTACACTGATGCTGCATTTAATTCTCATTACAATTATTATTTAATCACATTTTATTTTTAAATGAGGAGGAATAATTATTTTAAAACAACAGAAAATGAAAGGATGTAAAATACACTGACCATATAAAGCATACAGATAATTAAACATGAGTATTAAGGCGTTATAACTAAATATGATGCATCTGTGAAATTAGCATGCTTTAGTGACTCTTTAATGCTAGTTTTGAGTGTGAATTATTGATTGATTGATTGATTGATATTGTCTGATCAATAAAGGCCAGTAACACTGACTCCCTCACTAGTGCACTGACTACTGAACTAGAGAGCTGATGGAGACTGGATTTGTGTCTTTCTGTTCATTATTCTGATCTTCAACAGGACAAACACAGAAGATCTGCTGAAGCGACTGAGCTCAGACTGTTATAAAGATGGCGTTTATTAAAGAGGAGAGTGAAGACATCAAGATTGAAGAAACATTCACAGTCAAACATGAAGAGACTGAAGAAGCTTTCAGAGTCAAACATGAAGATCCTGAGGAACAAACAGGTTGGTTTTCATCCTCAAACCTCAACATTTGATATTTATATATTAATTTATGAAATCAAGCATGTCTCCTGCTGCAAAAGTAAATTTACATGATTTCACTTTGGAGAGGATTGAATGCTGGGGCAGGCATATAATACCATAACCATTTTATCTTGATTTATTTGTTTTTGTCATTGTGGAGGCCAAAGTCGAAAATAAATGTTTAATGAGTCAGAGCATGAGTTTGACGTAGCAAGCAAATAAATTCAAGTCTAGAAGCAAGGCAAAGGCTGTCTAATTCAAAGTCTTGGTCAGGGGTGCCCAATCCTGTTCCTGGAGATCTACCTTACTGCAGAGTTCAGCAGCAACCTTGATCAAACACACCTCTCTTTAATCCGCTTGTTAAGTGTGACGTCACGCGAAGCGGCTTCCGGGTACAAGCGCTCTATTCAACTGAATAGGGAGACTCATGAAATGGTAATCATAAACGTTTACAAAGCGATTTAAGGCTTTCGAAAATCACGATCGCAGTATATATGTCCATGCCTAATATCCGATGGCTAGAAAGTGATAAAATTTTTTATACATTGTTAAAATTTTGGTATTTGTTATAAAGCAAATTGTTGTGTACACTATGATTTTATATAAAATTAACTTTAATGTGTGATAGGAATAAAACGTGATCATAAACTAATGATTTCTCCACTCAAATGAGTGGCGGCTTGGACCCGGAAACAGTATTACATGCGTCACAAACACGTCACCACTTAAAGGGTCACGAAACACCAAAGCACATGTGTTGAGCTGTTGACAGTCGTATCTGTGTCCCACACTGCTAAAAACACTATTAGGACACTTATATTTCACTAAAAAGTGTAAATTGGTTGTTTTTGCGTTATTTCAAGCAAATTCGTACTTCCGGTTTGAAACAAATTTTTGAAGCTGCGTCACGGTCATGAGATAATAGCGTGTATTCCAGCGTGCAGACTGGACGTCTGTGCCAGAGTGAGTCTTATTACGTCTTACAGTGTGCTGCATTAATGCATGAGTAAGGCTTGGTTCAAACCAATCAGCGCGCTCTATTGTGCAACTTCATTAATATTCATTACTGTCACAGTGTTCAGACGACAGAGACGCCACGTTGTGTTGGCAAAACAAGCGTGCAGTGTTGCTTTTATAGTTTGCTGCAGTGAAGTTTTGTTTTCATTTTCTCTCTGTGAGAGCGCAGACTCACGCGTGGATTAACAGTGTACGAGGCGCTCGACAACAATAACTTACGTGTCTAAGGAGGATTATTGTTTACCTGAGAGCTGTTCTCATCTGCAAACGCTGAGATCCGGATTCGCTTGTAGTCTCCTCTTAATAAAGACGCGGCTCTAGTTGCTGGTGATTGTCCTGTCTCTACAGATTTGGTAAGTGAGCGACCAGTGCTCTTTGTTTATTCAGTTCGTATTTTATTCGTATCAAACAAACTATTGCACCGAGTGTAAACAAGTTAGCACTAACAGTTACAACCAAACTTTAACCTTGTGTTGGATTTTGTGACCGGAATAACACACGCGGCTTTCTGACGCTACCTGCTGTGTGCATCTAAGTTTCTGGGAAATGCGGAGGGTTTTTTTCTCTCATTCGCCGTGCGGTATCAAACATTGCATGAAAAATACACGATTAGAGCAGCTCCTCGAATCAAATATCTCGTTTGTCGGGAGGGACATGAATGAATTCCCTGAATGAAAGAGCCAAACTGCAGTTAAAGTCCACCATTTAATCATTTGGCAAATAATTTGACTACAGATGTCCATGTAAACACAGTCACTTTGTCCGCTGTGGTTGTGTGTTTTGACTCTGAAACTCAGCACGCCCAAATAGACACTCCCACACCATCCCACTTTTCTTCCTCCAACACTCCCCCCCTAAACAGAGCTGGACACGCCCACTTTTCTGACTTTTTCCAAAGTAGAGGTGTGAAAACACCCTGCTGAAACGAGGGGCTTTCATGGCCCTTTAACAAGCGAATTGCAAGTGCTCCTTCAGATCCTACTTAGTTGGTTTAGTTGATCAGGGATGGAGCTGGACTATCCAGGATGGCAGATCTCCAGGAACAGGATTAGACACTCCTGGTCAAGGTCAATTCGTTGTCTGGCATGAGGCTTTCTTATCTTTCAGTTTTTGTCCAGTTATAAGGTAGCCTAGGTACGAGTGGATGTTTGTGGTTCTGGTGACCACTTGACATGAATTGATGATCATATCAGCAAAAAAGCAGATCAATAGTTCTCAGAAGACCCCTTACTCACTAGCCATTACATAATCTCAGGACATTAATTCCTTCTCTTCTGCAAAGGACTGCAAAGAGATGTTCTTGTCTGCTGATTTGGATTCTAGGTACTCTGATTAAAGTGATTCTGATCATAGGTGTCGACTCATTTGATGGAATCTGCATGATCATGTGGAGAACATTGAGACAGCACTGCGCTGACCCCAATATCTGAGGTGTCGAAAGTGTTATTACAATCTTCAAATTGGTAGTATCAGGATTTTTATTCATTGGAAAATACTTAAGGGTGGCACAGTGGCTCAGTGGTTAGCACTGTCACCTCACAGCAAGAAGGTCCCTGGTTGAGTCCCTGCTGGGTAAATTGGGTAAGCAAAAATTGTCCATAGTGTGTGTGAATGTGAGTGTATGGGTGTTTCCCAATACTGGATTGCCGCTGAAAAGGCATCTGCTGTGTAAAACATATGCTTGAATAGTTGGTGGTTCATTCCACTGTGGTAACCCCTGATGAATAAGGGACTAAGCCGAAGGAATGATGAATGAAATTACCTAAAAGAACGACCATGTAAAATACTTGGAAATTCTTTGGTTGAATTGTATAATGTATAATTGTATAATTGTAAATTGTACTGGTCAATAAGGGTTAACTATATAGTATTGTTTCAACTGAAAATGGTTACTGTCAATTTTGACACCTATGGGTTTTTGTCATTTTTGTCTCCAAAGAAAACCTGATGCCAGTCAAAGAGGAGAGTCAAGATCAGAACGAAGTAGAAGAGAAGGATCAGCATGAGGAATGTCTGGATTTCAGTTCTGGAGAAAAATCAGAACAGACAAAAACCTCATCACAAACAACAGCCAAATCTAATACCTGCCACCAGTGTGGAAAGAGTTTCGCTCACAAACATTACCTTACAAAACATATGAGGATTCATACAGGAGAAAAGCCTTACACTTGCACACAGTGTGGAAAGAGTTTCAATCGGCGAGAAAACTTAAAAGAGCATATGAAGATTCATAATGGAGAAAAACTTTACACTTGCCAACAGTGTGAAAAAAGTTTCACTTGGAAACAAAACCTTACATCCCATATGAGGATTCACACTGGAGAAAAACAACACAGCTGCCTACAGTGTGGAAAGGGTTTCACACAGAAATTAAACCTTACAAAACACATGAGGATTCACACTGGAGAAAAACCTTACACTTGCCAACAGTGTGGAAAAAGTTTTTCTTGGAAACAATACCTTACAGACCATATGAGGACTCACACTGCTCACACTGCAGAAAAGCAACATACCTGCCAACAGTGTGGAAAAGGTTTCACTCGCAAACGAAACCTTTTAAATCATATGAGGATTCACACAGGAGAAAAGCCTTACACTTGCCAACAATGTGGAAAGAGTTTCAATCGGAGAGAATACTTAAGAGAGCATATGAAGATTCACAATGGAGAAAAGCTTTACACTTGCCAAAAGTGTGGAAAGAGTTTCAATCGGAGAGAATACTTAAGAGAGCATATGAAGATTCACAATGGAGAAAAGCTTTACACTTGCCAAAAGTGTGGAAAGAGTTTCGCTCGCAAACAATACCTTATAATCCATATGAGGATTCATACAGGAGAAAAGCCTTACAATTGCCAACAATGTGGAAAGAGTTTTAATCGGAGAGAAAACTTAAAAGAGCATATGAAGATTCATAATGGAGAAAAGCCTTACACTTGCCAACAGCGTGGAAAGAGTTTTACTTGTAAACAACACCTTAAAAAACACATGAGGATTCACACTGGAGAAAAGCCTTCACTTGCCAACAGTGTGGAATGAGCTTTGCATGTAAAAAAATCCCTTAATACCCATGTGATGTGTCATACTGGATAAAAGCCTGACAACTGTGTTTTTGACAAAAAGTAAATCTTAAATTTCATAAGAGGATTCACAATTAGAAATAACCAAATCAGATTTCATTAGTGCGGAGACTCATAGACAGGAATCACTTTAATAACTTACACAAGAGGAGAGGATGTCATCACAGGGTGCAATTAAATGCATCCCAAAAACAAGTCAGTTTTCAAGGAAAAAAAAACAGGTTTATGAGAACACTCCCCTTTTGTCCCCTCCCCTTTCCATGCCCTTATCAATGAAATCATCTTGCCAGAAGTCTTGTTACATCTCCAAAAACTTGATTTTACCAAGCCTCAAGCAGTTTCACAAAGCATCCTGCAACCCCTCACATCTGTGTGTGCAAGTACCAAGCAATCGGGTCAGTCCATCAGAACTCTCACAATCTGTTAAAGATTTGTAATTCTGCCAAGAGCCTAGGCCACAGGAAGGATTCACAGCCAACAAAATCATCCTCTAGCTTCTGTATCCCCTGGTAACCAGCTCCAACTACATCATGCAAATCCTGACCAGACCAGACCAGCTGTGCCGGGATTTCCAAGGGTGTAGGTTTGCTCTTGACAATGGTGGGGAGTCTGAGGACCTATAAATCTCCCTGAACCGAAATTCCGCTTGCTACTCTGAGAGATTAGGAGAACTGACAGGGATCATATTCCCCCACTGTGCATTTTTATTTTAAGCTGTAAAACATGTGAGATTCTCTGCTATTTATGTTTTTCAGGTTGCAATGCTAAGAAATTAACAAGTGATGGAATTATAAACTCCAGTCGCTTTTATCCCTCACCCAAACTCAGAACTGGACTACACAAGAGTAGGGCCCTGCAAGTTACAGAAGGTCCTGCAGAACACCACCCCTCCCCCCGGCCACCAGACTGTAAAGGAACTACAATGCTTCATGGGCTTTGCCAATTTCTACCTACAATCCATCCACAGTCTTATTATATTACCTCTTCACTCACTTCACTTGTCCAGGAAACTCCCCGGTAGAGCAAAGTTATGACATTATCAATCACAAACACAATCTTCATCCTCATGTCACTGCTCAGTCTGTGCCATGTAAAAGACACCCCGATCTTTGCCTGGTGGTAAACTCATTCCATTACTCTTTCCACGATGACTCTGATCCCGTATTGGTATTGACAGTGTTTCTGACTTCCATAACTCTGATGATTTTATCTCTGTTATAGTTGCTGTAGATTGTTTCTCCAAAGCCTGTAAACTCATCCCTCTCCCTGGTTTACCTACTGCAATAGATACAGCAGAACTCTTCTTCCAGCTTGAGCTGAAACTATAGCTCACCTGAGGAGATTGTATTGACCGGGGCCCAGTTGACACCCTTATCTGGAAAGCTTTTCTTCAAACTACTCACCATTTCTGTTAACCATTCTTCTGGTTATCCCCCACAGACAAATGGCTTGGAGCTCAGACAGTATCTCCCGTGGTACTGTCATGAAGACCAGAACAGATGGAACTGTTTCCTCCTGTGAGCTGAGTATGCACAGAAACCCCTGCACCAAGATACCACTGCCTTAACAACTTTCCTGTGCTAACCATCCACCACTCTCTTCCTGGATGGAGGAACTCTTCAAGGTTTCAGCTGTTGACTACTGGTTTAGAGAGAGTGTGGGATTTACTCCATCTGCAGAAACCCTTAGAAAGAAAGTAAAAGACAGGAAGTCGAGACACTCCCCTATCAACCTGACGACAAGACATGGCTGTTCTGGACCAGCCATTAATCTACACAGTCAATGAGATCTTGGATTTGTGATGCAGGGTCTCCCATCTGGAATACCTGGTCGAATGAGAGGACTATAGATTTGAGCAGGGGTTTCAAACTCAGTTCCTGGAGGGCCACAGCCCTGCACAGTTTAGTTCCAACCATGCTTCAACACACTTACCTGTAGGTTTCAAACAAACCTAAAGAACTCAATCAGTTTGATCAGGTGTGTTTAAATAGGGTTGGAACTAAGTTGTGCAGAGCTGCGGCCCTCCAGGAACTGAGTTTGACACATGTGGACTAGAGGACTGACTAGAGGCAGAGGTCACCACCATGTTGTGTGATGGCATCAGGAGTCACCTCTGGAGAAGTGGTCCATTTTGTTTGTTACTTTATTACTCAGTAAAAAGTAGCTTATTTTGTGTATGTAGGGGTCAGATGTGTACTGCAGTCTGAAGACAATATATGTTTGTTTAATTGTCTACTAAATGTATGTTTTACTGTTCATTTTATTTACATTTTATTTAGCTATTCACACATTTTTAGTTAGTTTTCTGGTGTATTTTATTTTTACATATACATTTTTGTATGTGGGTTTTAAGTTTGATTTCAGGATATAAAAGAATAATGTGTCCATTGTGTTGTAACTGGAAATTTTAATGTATGCTTATATATGAAAATGTGGGTAAATTGTAAAATGTATGAAATGCCTTTACATGCATACTGGAGAAAATAATTAATCTGAACACACAATGCTGCTGTGTATTGATGAGGGGTCAGATGTGCACTGCAGTCTGAAGACAATATATATGTGTTTAATTGTCCACTACAGGGTTGAATAAAATAGTGGAAAGCAGCTCTTGGTGTCTTTGGGAGTAAAAGCAGATGTTGTATTAAGATCATATAAATTTCACACATAAAATGTAAAGATAAAACCTTTTTATAATTTCATCAACCTGAACTTTGTACAGTCATATCTGGTAAAAGTAAACCATAAAGATAATTAGTGAGATAATAATAAAGTGTGTTTAAACATTTGAGCAGACACTCATTTAGCTGTTTTCTCTGTTTAAAGAGAGACCCGACTCCTAGAACAAATATTGTCTGCACATAAACACTGTTTAGAGTTTAAGATACATGTGCTAGTAATTATTATAAACATTTATTAATTTATTTAATACGACGAGAAACTTCAGTATCATTACTGTTGTTGTTTAGGAACTTTTTGGATAAATACCCCTGCAAATTTTATCATGTACGCGGGACTTTTATTTTGATATGCATTTGTGACGTCATAAGGGTGCGCCACGCTGCTGCCGAGTTTGTTTCAACTGGAGAAAGGTTTGTGTTTTAATCAGTTTAGGTGTTAAACTATTTGTGTTTAGACATTTATTTAGACTTTATTGTCACAATACGAGTTAAGTATCATTCAGTGTGACATTATAATGTGTTATACTACATTTATGAACAGTATTGTAAGAGTAAACTGCCTCAGTTTATTATGAACAGCCAGTAGTGATCTGAGTAAACTGAACACTGAAATCCAACTCTCAGACAAATCATCAATCTTTTCACCACAGTGAGCACCAAGAGTCTTAAATTCTACACTAAAATGAAAACTCAGTGAACTTTATTTATTCTTAATATTAATAATTAATTACAATTGTATAGTGCTTTCCTGGGCACTCAAAGCTTTACTTGAACTGATGCTGTATTTAATTCTCATTACAATTACTATTTAATCACATTTTATTTTGAAACGAGAAGGAATAATTATTTTAAAACAGAAAATGAAAGGATGTAAATTACACTGACCATATAATGGGTACAGATAATTAAACATGAGTATTAAGGCGTTATAACAAAATATGATGCATCTGTGAAATTAGCATGCTTTAGTGACTCTTTAATGCTAGTTGTGAGTGTGAATGTTTGATTGATTGATATTGTCTGATTATTAAAGGCCAGTAACACTGACCACTGAACTAGAGAGCTGATGGAGACTGGATTTGTGTCTTTCTGTTCATTATTCTGATCTTCAACAGGACAAACACAGAAGATCTGCTGAAGCGACTGAGCTCAGACTGTTATAAAGATGGCGTTTATTAAAGAGGAGAGTGAAGACATCAAGATTGAAGAAACATTCACAGTCAAACATGAAGAGACTGAAGAAGCTTTCAGAGTCAAACATGAAGATCCTGAGGAACAGACAGGTTGGTTTTCATCCTCAAACCTCAACATTTGATATTTATATATTAATTTATGAAATCAAGCATGTCTCCTGCTGCAAAAGTAAATTTACATGATTTCACTTTGGAGAGGATTGAATGCTGGGGCAGGCATATAATACCATAACCATTTTATCTTGATTGATTTTTATAGTCATTGTGGAGGCCAAAATCTAAATTAAATGTTTGTTGAATCAGAGCATGAGTTTGAAGTAGCAAGAAAATAATTCAAGTCTAGAAGCAAGGCAAAGGCTGTCTGTAATTCAAAGTCTTGGTCAGCGGTACCCAATTCTGTTCCTGGAGATCTACCTTACTGCAGAGTTCAGCAGCAACCTTGATCAAACACACCTCTCTTTAATTACTAAGTGCTCACTCAGATCCTACTTAGTTGGTTTAGTTGATCAGGGATGGAGCTGAACATTCCAGGATGGCAGATCTCCAGGAACAGGATTAGGCACTCCTGGTCAAGGTCAATTCGTTGTCTGGCATGAGGCTTTCTTATCTTTCAGTTTCGTCCAGTCATAAGGTAGCCTAGGTATGAGTGGATGTTTGTGGTTCTGGTGACCACTTGAAATGAATTGATAATCATATCAGCAAAAAGCTGATCAATAGTTCTCAGAAGACCCCTTACTCACTAGCCACTTCATAATCTCAGAACATTAATTCCTTCTCTTCTGCAAAGAACTGCAAAGAGATGTTCTTGTCTGCTGATTTGGATTCTAGGTACTCTGATTAAAGAGATTCTGATCATAGGTGTCGACTCATTTGATGGAATCTGCATGATCATGTGGAGAACGTTGAGACAGCACTGCGCTGACCCCAATATCCGAGGTGTCGACCTTGACAATTAACTGGTTATTGGGACCGGGAGTGATTGCGATAACAGCAAACTGTTTCTTGACAAGGTTTTTTGTGTAAAAGAACATAGTATGGACTAGTTCAGTAAGAATGAATCGTTGAAGATTTCTGTTATGATTAAATGATTGTTATATTATTCTGGACTAGAATTGTCAAAAGTGTTATTACAACCTTTCAAGAGTTCACACTTAGCTGATGATTGATTATAAAAGCTTGTTTGGCATGCTGTCCCGGGAGAGAGCCTTGAGCTTATGAGATCCTCGAGCCCAGGGCTCCCTCTCGTTTCAAGTCAGGAGGGGAGTTTGAGCTCAGGTAGATTTCGAGAACTCCCCTGCTGTAGTAACCACTGAACAGTAAGTGATTGGTCTTGGAACCCGGGGGAAACCCACGTGAGCATGGGAAGAAAGTGCAAACTCCACACAGAAATGTCTGCTGGTTTGGTAAAGCCTAGTACCAGAGACATTTTTGCTGAGAGGCAACAGTGCTACGCACTGGGCCACCGTGTCACCCATCTAGGAAGGAGGAGGAGTAGGGGTGGAAGGGGGGGCTCTTCAAAATGAAGAAAGCAGTGGAATGAAACCCAGGGTAGTTATAGTAGTTTATGAGTCATTTGATTGGAGCATAGTGAATTAGATAATGCGGATCCAGCCGCTAGCAATCATAAGCACGTGATACTCTCAAAATTAGTTTATACATAAAATTTACTTAAATTGATAGTGTCAGGATTTTTATTCATTCATTTATTTTCTTGTCGACTTAGTTCCTTTATTAATCCGGGGTCGCCACAGAGGAATGAACGACCAACTTATCCAGCACATGTTTTATGCAGCGGATGCCCTTCCAGCTGCAACCCATCTCTTGGGAATCAGGATTTTTATGTCATTGGAAAATACTTATGGGTGGCACAGTGGTTAGCACTGTCACCTCACAGCTAGAAGGTCCCTGGTTAGAGTTCCTGCTGGGTCAGTTGGCGCTTCTGTGTGGAGTTTGCATGTTTTCCCCGTGTTGGCCTGAGTTTCCTTTGGGTGCTCCAGTTTCAACCACAGTTCAAAGACATGCGCTATAGGTAAATTGGGTAAGCAAAAATTGTCCATAGTGTGTGTGTGAATGTGAGTGTATGGGTGTTTCCCAATACTGGATTGCCGCTGAAAGGGCATCCGCTGTGTAAAACATATGCTGGAATAGTTGGTGGTTCATTCCGCTGGCTTAGTCCCTTATTCATCAGGGGTTACCACAAAGGAATGATGAATGAAAATACTTAAAAGAACGACCATGTAAAATACTTGGAAATTCTTTGGTTGAATTGTATACCTAAAAATTGTACAAGTCAATAAGGGTTAACTATATAGTATTGTTTCAACTGAAAATGGTTACTGTCAATTTTAACACCTATGGGTTTTTTTGTCATTTTTGTCTCCAAAGAAAACCTGATGCCAGTCAAAGAGGAGAGTCAAGATCAGAATGAAGTAGAAGAGAAGGATCAGCATGAGGAATGTCTGGATTTCAGTTCTGGAGAAAAATCAGAACAGACAAAAACCTCATCACAAACAACAGCCGAATCTAATACCTGCCACCAGTGTGGAAAGAGTTTCGCTCACAAACATTACCTTACAAAACATATGAGGATTCATACAGGAGAAAAGCCTTACACTTGCCAGCAATGTGGAAAGAGTTTCAAGCGGCAAGAAAACCTAAGACAGCATATGAAGATTCATAATGGAGAAAAACTTTACACTTGCCACCAGTGTGGAAAAAGTTTCACTTGGAAACAAAACCTTACATTCCATATGAGGATTCACACTGGAGAAAAGCCTTACACTTGCCAGCAATGTGGAAAGAGTTTTAATCGGAGCGAAAACTTAAAAGAGCATATGAAGATTCATAATGGAGAAAAGCTTTACACTTGCCAAAAGTGTGAAAAAAGTTTCACTTGGAAACAAAACCTTACATTCCATATGAGGATTCACACTGGAGAAAAGCCATTCAATTGCCAACATTGTGAAAAGAGTTTCACTTGTAAACAACACCTTACAGACCATGTGAGGATGCACACTGGAGAAAAGCCATTCAATTGCCAACATTGTGGAAAGAGTTTTGCTAGGAAACAACACCTTACACGCCATATGAGGATGCACAATGGAGAAAAGCCCCATGCCTGCCTACAGTGTGGAAAGAGTTTCACTTGGAAACATCACCTTGTAACCCATATGAGGATTCACACTGGAGAAGAACAACACAGCTGCTTACAGTGTGGAAAGGCTTTCACACGGAAACTAAACCTTACAAAACACATGAGGATTCACACTGGAGAAAAACCTTACACTTGCCAACAATGTGGAAAGAGGTTTTCTTGGAAACAATACCTTACAGACCATATGAGGACTCATACTGCTCACACTGCAGAAAAGCAACATACCTGCCACCAGTGTGGAAAAGGTTTCACTTGCAAACGAAACCTTTTAAATCATATGAATATTCACACAGGAGAAAAGCCTTACACTTGCCAACAGTGTGGAAAGAGTTTCAATCGGAGGCAAAACTTAAAAGAACATGAGAAGATTCACAATGGAGAAAAACTTTACATTTGCCAACAGTGTGGAAAGAGTTTCGCTCGCAAACAATACCTTATAATCCATATGAGGATGCTCCATGAAGAAAAGCGTTATACCTGCCTACAGTGTGGAAAGAGTTTCTCCTGGAATCGTCACCTTGCCATCCATATGAGGATTCACACTGGAGAAAAACCTTACACTTGCCAACAATGTGGAAAGAGCTTTAATCGGAGGCAAAACTTAAAAGAGCATATGAAGATTCATAATAGAGAAAAGCTTTACTCTTGCCTACAGTGTGGGAAGAGTTTCACTTGGAAACAAAACCTTACAATCCATATGAGGATTCACACTGGAGAAAAGCCTTCACTTGCCAACAGTGTGGAATGAGCTTTGCATGTATAAATATCCCTTAATACCCATGTGATGCTGTATACTGGATAGAAGCCTGACACCTGGGTTTCTATTAAAAAAATAAAACTTAAATTTCATAAGAGGATTCACAATTAGAAATAACCAAATGAGATTTCGTTAGTGCAGAGACTCATAGACAGGAATCACTGTAATAACTTACAAAGAAGGAGAGGATGTCATCACAGGGTGCAATTAAATGCATCCCTAAAACAAGTCAGTTTTCAAGGGAAAAAAAAAAACAGGTTTATGAGAACACTCCCCTTTTGTCCCCTCCCCTTCCCATGCCCTTGTCAATGAAATCATCTTGCCAGAAGTCTTGCATCATCTACAAAAACTTGATTTTACCAAGCCTCAAGCAGCTTCACAAAGCATCCTGCGACCCCTCACATCTGTGTGTGCAAGTACCAAGCAATCGGGTCAGTCCATCAGAACTCTCACAATCTGTTAAAGATTTGTAATTCTGCCAAGAGCCTAGGCCTCAGGAAGGATTCACAGCCAACAACATCATCCTCTAGCTTCTGTATCCCCTGGTAACCAGCTCCAACTACATCATGCAAATCCTGACCAGACCAGACCAGCTGTGCCGGGATTTCCAAGGGTGTAGGTTTGCTCTTGACAATGGTGGGGAGTCTGAGGACCTATAAATCTCCCTGAACCGAAATCCCACTTGCTACTCTGAGAGATTAGGAGAACTGACAGGGATCATATTCCCCCACTGTGCATTTTTATTTTAAGCTGTAAAACATGTGAGATTCTCTGCTATTTATGTTTTTCAGGTTGCAATGCTGAGAACTTAACAAGTGATGGAATTATAAACTCCAGTCGCTTTTATCCCTCACCCAAACTCAGAACTGGACTACACAAGAGTAGGACCCTGCAAGTTACAGAAGGTCCTGCAGAACACCACCCCTCCCCCCGGCCACCAGACTGTATAGAAAATACAATGCTTCATGAGCTTTGCTAATTTCTACCTACAATCCATCCACAGTCTTATTATATTACCTCTTCACTCATTTCACTGGTCCAGGAAACTCACCGGTAGAGCGAAGTTATGACATTATCGATCACAAACACAATCTCCATCCTCATGTCACTTCTCAGTCTGTGCCATGTCAAAGACACCCAGATCTTTGACTGGTGGTAAACTCATTCCATTACTCATTCCACGATGACTCTGATCCCGTATTGGTATTGACAGTGTTTCTGACTTCCATAATTCTGATGGTTTTATCTCTGTTATAGTTGCTGTAGATTGTTTCTCCAAAGCCTGTAAACTCATCCCTCTCCCTGGTTTACCTACTGCAATAGATACAGCAGAACTCTTCTTCCAGCTTGAGCTGAAACTATAGCTCACCTGAGGAGATTGTATTGACCGGGGCCCAGTTGACACCCTTATCTGGAAAGCTTTTCTTCAAACTACTCACCATTTCTGTTAACCATTCTTCTGGTTATCCCCCACAGTCAAATGGCTTGGAGCTCAGACAGTATCTCCAGTGGTACTGTCACAAGGACCAGAACAGATGGAACCGTTTCCTCCTGTGAGCTGAGTATGCACAGAAACCCCTGCACCAAGATACCAATGCCTTAACAACTTTCCTGTGCTAACCAGCCACCACTCTCTCCCTGGATGGAGGAACTCTTCAAGGTTTCAGCTGTTGACTACTGGTTTAGAGAGAGTGTGGGATTTACTCTATCTGCAGAAACCCTTAGCAAAGAAAGTAAAAGACAGGAAGTCTGAGACACTCCCCTATCAACCTGACGACAAGGCATGGCTGTTCTGGACCAGCCATCAATCTACACAGTCAATGAGATCTTGGATTTGTGATGCAGAGTCTCCCATGTGGAATATCTGGTCGAATGGGAGGACTATGGACTTCAGCAGGGGTGTCAAACTCAGTTCCTGGATGGCCGCAGCCCTGCACAGTTTAGTTCCAACCATGCTTCAACACACTTACTTGTAGGTTTCAAACAAGTCTAAAGGACTCAATCAGTTTGATCAGGTGTGTTTAAATAGGGTTGGAACTAAGCTGTGCAGAGTTGCGGCCCTCAAGGAACTGAGTTTGACACATGTGGACTAGAGGACTGACTTGAGGCAGAGGTCACAACCATGTTGTGTGATGACAATAGGAGTTACCTCTGGAGAAGTGGTCCATTTTGTTTATTTTAATTTATTACTCAGTAAAAAGTAGCTTATTTTGTGTATGTAGGGGTCAGATGTGTACTGCAGTCTGAAGACAATATATGTTTGTTTAATTGTCTACTAAATGTATGTTTTACTGTTCATTTTATTTACATTTTATTTAGCTATGCACACATTTTTAGTTAGTTTTCTGGTGTATTTTATTTTTACATATACATTTTTGTATGTGGGTTTTAAGTTTGGTTTCAGGATATAAAAGAATAATGTGTTCATTGTGTTGTAACTGGAAAGAAGAAATATGTTTTCCAGTACATTTTAATGTATGCTTATATATGTAAATGTGGGTAAATTGTAAAATGTATGAAATGCCTTTACATGCGTACTGGAGAAAATAATTAATCTGAACACACAATGCTGCTGTGTATTGATGAGGGGTCAGACGTGCACTGCAGTCTGAAGACAATATATGTGTGTTTAATTATCCACTACAGGGTTGAATAAAATAGTGGAAAGCAGCTCTTGGTGTCTTTGGGAGTAAAAGCAGATGTTGTATTAAGATCATATAAATTTCACACATAAAATGTAAAGATAAAACCTTTTTATAATTTCATCAACCTGAACTTTGTACAGTCATATCTGGTAAAAGTAAACCATAAAGATAATTAGTGAGATAATAATAAAGTGTGTTTAAACATTTGAGCAGACACTCATTTAGCTGATTTCTCTGTTAAAAGAGAGACCCGACTCCTGGAACAAATAATGTCTGCACTTAAACACTGTTTAGAGTTTAAGATACATGTGTTAGTAATTATTATAAACATTTACTAATTTATTTAATACGACCAAAAACTTGAGTATCATTATTGTTGCTGTTTAAGAATTTTTTTGGATAAATACCTTTGCAAATGTTATCATGTGCACGGGACTTTTATTTTGATATGCATTTGTGACGTCATAAGGGTGCGCCGCGCTGCTGCAGAGTTTGTTTCAACTGGAGAAAGGTTTGTGTTTTAATCAGTTTAGGTGTTAAACTATTAGTGTTTAGACATTTATTTAGACTTTATTATAATAATACGAGTTAAGTATCATTCAGTGTGACATTATAATGTGTTCTACAACATTTATGAACAGTATTGTAAGAGTAAACTGCCTCAGTTTATTATGAACAGCCAGTAGTGATCTGAGTAAACTGAACACTGAAATCCAACTCTCAGACAAATCATCAACCTTTTATCAATCTTTTCACCACAGTGAGCGCCAAGAGTCTTAAATTCTACACTTAAATGAAAACTCAGTGAACTTTATTTATTCTTAATAATAATAATAATAATAATAATAATAATAATAATTAATTACAATTGTATAGCGCTTTCCTGGGCACTCAAAGCTTTACTTACACTGATGCTGCATTTAATTCTCATTACAATTATTATTTAATCACATTTTATTTTTAAACGAGGAGGAATAATTATTTTAAAACAACAGAAAATGAAAGGATGTAAAATACACTGACCATATAATGGGTACAGATAATTATACATGAGTATTAAGGCGTTATAACTAAATATGATGCATCTGTGAAATTAGCATGCTTTAGTGACTCTTTAATGCTAGTTTTGAGTGTGAATTATTGATTGATTGATTGATATTGTCTGATCAATAAAGGCTAGTAACACTGACTCCCTCACTAGTGCACTGACTACTGAACTAGAGAGCTGATGGAGACTGGATTTGTGTCTTTCTGTTCATTATTCTGATCTTGAACAGGACAAACACAGAAGATCTGCTGAAGCGACTGAGCTCAGACTGTTATAAAGATGGCGTTTATTAAAGAGGAGAGTGAAGACATCAAGATTGAAGAAACATTCACAGTCAAACATGAAGAGACTGAAGAAGCTTTCAGAGTCAAACATGAAGATCCTGAGGAACAGACAGGTTGGTTTTCATCCTCAAAGCTCAACATTTGATATTTATATATTAATTTATGAAATCAAGCATGTCTCCTGCTGCAAAAGTAAATTTACATGATTTCACTTTGGAGAGGATTGAATGCTGGGGCAGGCATATAATACCATAACCATTTTATCTTGATTAATTTTTATAGACATTGTGGAGGCCAAAATGTAAAATAAATGTTTATTGAATCAGAGCATGAGTTTGACGTAACGAGCAAATAATTCAAGTCTAGAAGCAAGGCAAAGGCTGTCTGTAATTCAAAGTCTTGGTCAGGGGTGCCCAATCCTGTTCCTGGAGATCTACCTTACTGCAGAGTTCAGCAGGAACCTTGATCAAACACACCTCTCTTTAATTACCAAGTGCTCACTCAGATCCTACTTAGTTGGTTTAGTTGATCAGGGATGGAGCTGAACTCTCCAGGATGGCAGATCTCCAGGAACAGGATTAGGCACTCCGAGTCAATGTCAATTCCTTGTCTGGCATGAGGCTTTCTTATATGTTAGTTTCGTCCAGTCATAAGGTAGCCTAGGTACGAGTGGATGTTTGTGGTTCTGGTGACCACTTGACATGAATTGATGATCATATCAGCAAAAAGCAGATCAATAGTTCTCAGAAGACCCCTTACTCACTAGCCACTTCATATTCTCAGGACATTAATTCCTTCTCTTCTGCAAAGAACTGCAAAGAGATGTTCTTGTCTGCTGATTTGGATTCTAGGTACTCTGATTAAAGTGATTCTGATCATAGGTGTCGACTCATTTGATGGAATCTGCATGATCATGTGGAGAACATTGAGACAGCACTGCGCTGACCCCAATATCCGAGGTGTCGACCTTGACAATCAACTGGTTATTGGGACCGGGAGTGATTGCGATAACAGCAAACAGTTTCTTGACAAGGTTTTTTTGTGTAAAAGAACATAGTATGGACTAGTTCAGTAAGAATGAATCGTTGAAGATTTCTGTTATGATTAAATGATTGTTATATTATTCTGGACTAGAACTGTCAAAAGTGTTATTACAACCTTTCAAGAGTTCACACTTAGCTGATGATTGATTATAAAAGCTTGTTTGGCATGCTGTCCCGGGAGAGAGCCTTGAGCTTATGAGATCCTCGAGCCCAGGGCTCCCTCTTGTTTCAAGGCAAGAGGGGAGTTTGAGCTCAGGTAGATTTCGAGAACTCCCCTGCTGTAGTAACCAATGAACAGTAAGTGATTGCTCTTGGAACCCGGGGGAAACCCACGTGAGCATGGGAAGAAAGTGCAAACTCCACACAGAAATGTCTGCTGGTTTGGTAAAGCCTAGTACCAGAGACATTTTTGCTGAGAGGCAACAGTGCTACGCACTGGGTCACCGTGTCACCCATCTAGGAAGGAGGAGGAGTAGGGGTGGAAGGGGGGCTCTTCAAAATGAAGAAAGCAGTGGAATGAAACTCAGGGTAGTTATAGTAGTTTAGGAGTCATTTGATTGGAGCATAGTGAATTAGATAATGCGGATCCAGCCACTAGCAATCATGAGCACATGATCCTCTCAAAATTAGTTTATACATAAACTTTACTTAAATTGATAGTGTCAGGATTTTTATTCATTCATTTATTTTCTTGTCGACTTAGTTCCTTTATTAATCCGGGGTCGCCACAGAGGAATGAACCACCAACTTATCCAGCACATGTTTTATGCAGCGGATGCCCTTCCAGCCATAACCCATCTCTTGGGAATCAGGATTTTTATGTCATTGGAAAATACTTATGGGTGGCACAGTGGTTAGCACTGTCACCTCACAGCTAGAAGGTCCCTGGTTAGAGTTCCTGCTGGGTCAGTTGGCGCTTCAGTGTGGAGTTTGCATGTTCTCCCCGTGTTGGCCTGAGTTTCCTTTGGGTGCTCCAGTTTCACCCACAGTCCAAAGACATGCGCTATAGGTAAATTGGGTAAGCAAAAATTGTCCATAGTGTGTGTGAATGTGAGTGTATGGGTGTTTCCCAATACTGGATTGCCGCTGAAAGGGCATCCGCTGTGTAAAACATATGCTGGAATAGTTGGTGGTTCATTCCGCTGGCTTAGTCCCTTATTCATCAGGGGTTACCACAAAGGAATGATGAATGAAAATACTTAAAAGAACGACCATGTAAAATACTTGGAAATTCTTTGGTTGAATTGTATACCTAAAAATTGTACAAGTCAATAAGGGTTAACTATATAGTATTGTTTCAACTGAAAATGGTTACTGTCAATTTTAACACCTATGGGTTTTTTTTGTCCTTTTTGTCTCCAAAGAAAACCTGATGCCAGTCAAAGAGGAGAGTCAAGATCAGAACAAAGTAGAAGAGAAGGATCAGCATGAGGAATGTCTGGATTTCAGTTCTGGAGAAAAATCAGAACAGACAAAAACCTCATCACAAACAACAGCCGAATCTAATACCTGCCACCAGTGTGGAAAGAGTTTCACTTGGAATTGTTACCTTGCCATCCATATGAGGATTCACACTGGAGAAAAGCCTTACACTTGCCAGCAATGTGGAAAGAGTTTCAATCGGCGAGAAAACCTAAGACAGCATATGAAGATTCATAATGGAGAAAAACTTTACACTTGCCAACAGTGTGAAAAAAGTTTCACTTGGAAACAAAACCTTACATTCCATATGAGGATTCACACTGGAGAAAAGCCATTCAATTGCCAACATTGTGAAAAGAGTTTCACTTGTAAACAACACCTTACAGACCATGTGAGGATGCACACTGGAGAAAAGCCATTCAATTGCCAACATTGTGTAAAGAGTTTCTCACGGAAACGATCCCTTAAAGACCATGTGAGGATTCACACTGGAGAAAAACAACACAGCTGCCTACAGTGTGGAAAGGGTTTCACAAGGAAACTAAACCTTACAAAACACATGAGGATTCACACTGGAGAAAAACCTTACACTTGCCAACAGTGTGGAAAAAGTTTTTCTTGGAAACAATACCTTACAGATCATATGAGGACTCACACTGCTCACACTGCAGAAAAGCAACATACCTGCCACCAGTGTGGAAAAGGTTTCACTTGCAAACGAAACCTTTTAAATCATATGAATATTCACACAGGAGAAAAGCCTTACACTTGCCAACAGTGTGGAAAGAGTTTCAATCGGCGAGAATACTTAAAAGAGCATATGAAGATTCATAATAGAGAAAAGCGTTACACTTGCCTACAGTGTGGGAAGAGTTTCACTTGGAAACAAAACCTTACAAAACACATGAGGATTCACACTGGAGAAAAGCCTTCACTTGTCAACAGTGTGGAATGAGCTTTGCATGTATAAATATCCCTTAATACCCATGTGATGCTGTATACTGGATAGAAGCCTGACACCTGGGTTTCTATTAAAAAAGTAAAACTTACATTTCATAAGAGGATTCACAATTAGAAATAACCAAATCAGATTTCATTAGTGCGGAGACTCATAGACAGGAATCACTGTAATAACTTACAAAGAAGGAGAGGATGTCATCACAGGGTGCAATTAAATGCATCCCTAAAACAAGTCAGTTTTCATGGAAAAAAAACAGGTTTATGAGAACACTCCCCTTTTGTCCCCTCCCCTTCCCATGCCCTTGTCAATGAAATCATCTTGCCAGAAGTCTTGCATCATCTACAAAAACTTGATTTTACCAAGCCTCAAGCAGCTTCACAAAGCATCCTGCGACCCCTCACATCTGTGTGTGCAAATACCAAGCAATCGGGTCAGTCCATCAGAACTCTCACAATCTGTTAAAGATTTGTAATTCTGCCAAGAGCCTAGGCCCCAGGAAGGATTCACAGCCAACAACATCATCCTCTAGCTTCTGTATCCCCTGGCAACCAGCTCCAACTACATCATGCAAATCCTGACCAGACCAGACCAGCTGTGCCGGGATTTTCAAGGGTGTAGGTTTGCTCTTGACATTGATGGGGAGTCTGAGGACCTATAAATCTCCCTGAACCGAAATTCCTGCTTGCTACTCTGAGAGATTAGGAGAACTGACAGGGATCATATTCCCCCACTGTGCATTTTTATTTTAAGCTGTAAAACATGTGAGATTCTCTGCTATTTATGTTTTTCAGGTTGCAATGCTGAGAACTTAACAAGTGATGGAATTATAAACTTCAGTCGCTTTTATCCCTCACCCAAACTCAGAACTGGACTACACAAGAGTAGGACCCTGCAAGTTACAGAAGGTCCTGCAGAACACCACCCCTCCCCCCGGCCACCAGACTGTAAAGGAACTACAATGCTTCATGAGCTTTGCCAATTTCTACCTACAATCCATCCACAGTCTTATTATATTACCTCTTCACTCACCTCACTTCTTAAGGGAAAGATGGAGACTCTTCTTTGGAACCCTGCTGCCCACGAAGAACTACACCAGCTCAAGGAGAAGTTCAGCACAGCCCCTCTACTACGATGCTTTCACCACCAGGGTTGGGGTCATGCTGTTACTGTGATCCTCTACTTCTCTACCCTTGAGCTTGTCAAAGACACCCAGATCTTTGCCTGGTGGTAAACTCATTCCATTACTCATTCCACGATGACTCTGATCCCGTATTGGTATTGACAGTGTTTCTGACTTCCATAACTCTGATGATTTTATCTCTGATATAGTTGCTGTAGATTGTTTCTCCAAAGCCTGTAAACTCATCCCTCTCCCTGGTTTACCTACTGCAATAGATACAGCAGAACTCTTCTTCCAGCTTGAGCTGAAACTATAGCTCACCTGAGGAGATTGTATTGACCGGGGCCCAGTTTACACCCTTATTTGAAAAGCTTTTCCTCAAACTACTCACCATTTTTGTTAACCATTCTTCTGGTTGTCCCTCACAGACAAATGGCTTGGAGCTCAGACAGTATCTTCGGTGGTACTGTCATGAAGACCAGGACAGATGGAACTGTTTCCTCCTGTGAGCTGAGTATGCACAGAAACCCCTGCACCAAGATACCACTGCCTTAACATATTTTCAGTGCATACTAACCAGCCACCACTCTCTCCCTGGATGGAGGAACCCCTCAAGGTTTCAGCTGTTGACTACTGGTTTAGAGAGAGTGTGGGATTTACTCCATCTGCAGAAACCCTTACAAAGAAAGTAAAAGACAGGAAGTCGAGACACTCACCTATCTACCTGACGACAAGGCATGGCTGTTTTGGACCAGCCATCAATCTACACAGTCAATGAGATCTTGGATTTGTGATGCAGGGTCTCCCATCTGGAATACCTGGTCGAATGAGAGGACTACAGATTTGAGCAGGGGTGTCAAACTCAGTTCCTGGATGGCCGCAGCCCTGCACAGTTTAGTTCCAACCATGCTTCAACACACTTACCTGTAGGTTTCAAACAAACCTAAAGAACTCAATCAGTTTGATCAGGTGTGTTTAAATAGGGTTGGAACAAAGGTGTGCAGAGCTGCGGCCCTCCAGGAACTGAGTTTGACACATGTGGACTAGAGGACTGACGAGAGACAGAGGTCACCACCATGTTGTGTGATGGCATCAGGAGTCACCTCTGAAGAAGTGGTCCATTTTGTTTGTTACTTTATTACTCAGTAAAAAGTAGCTTATTTTGTGTATGTAGGGGTCAGATGTGTACTGCAGTCTGAAGACAATATATGTGTGTTTAATTGTCCACTACAGGGTTGAATAAAATAGTGGAAAGCAGCTCTTGGTGTCTTTGGGAGTAAAATCAGATGTTGTATTAAGATCATATAAATTTTACACATAAAAATGTAAAGATAAAACCTTTTTATAATTTTATCAACTTTGTACAGTCATATCTGGTAAAAGTAAACCATAAAGATAAATAGTGAGATAATAATAAAGTGTGTTTTAACATTTGAGCAGACACTCATTTAGCTGATTTCTCTGTTTAAAGAGAGACCCGACTCCTGGAACAAATAATGTCTGCACTTAAACACTGTTTAGAGTTTAAGATACATGTGTTAGTAATTATTATAACATTTATTAATTTATTTAATACGACCAAAAACTTGAGTATCATCATTATTGTTGTTGTTGAAGAACTTTTTTGGATAAATACCTCTGCAAATTTTATCATGCGCACGGGACTTTTATTTTGATATGCATTTGTGACGTCACAACGGTGCGCCGCGCTGCTGCCGAGTTTGTTTCAACTGGAGAAAGGTTTGTGTTTTAATCGGTTTAAGTGTTAAAAATTGACAGTGTTTAGACATTTATTTAGACTTTATTATAATAATGCGAGTTAAGCATCATTCAGTGTGACATTATAATGTGTTCTACAACATTTATGAACAGTATTTTAAGAGTAAACTGCCTCAGTTTATTATGAACAGCTTGTAGTGATCTGAGTACACTGAAATCCAACTCTCAGACAAATCATCAACCTTTTATCAATCTTTTCCTTTACAGCGAGCACCGAAAGTCCTAAATTCTCCACTTAAATGAAAACTCAGTGAAGTTTATTTATTCTTAATAATAATAATATTGCCTTACATTTATATAGCGCTTTCCTGGGCACTGAAAGCATTACTTACACTGATGCTATTAATTCTCGTTACAATTATTATTTATAATTAAACAAATATAAGGCATTATAACTAAATGTGTGGCTTTTGTGAAATTAGTCAGGGTTCTGACTAATTTAATGCTTTTTAAGACCTCAACAAATATAATTTAAGACCCAAAAATTTTATAATTTCCTTGGAATAGGCTACTCATTTTAATGTTCTCGTTAGATTTAAATAAATTGTGCCTCGTCACAGTATGGATAACCCACAGTGCCTGCCTTTTGGTGTCTGGTGGTGAAATGAAACTGTTATAGCTGACTGTGAGGGGGCGTCTGAACTAGAGCTGTTATCAGGCTATAAAAGTTAGGCCCGATAGAGCCTGAACACCACAAGTACATTTTGATTGACAGCTTTTTAAAAGCCTGAACCCGTTTATTGCCCGACATTATCCAAATGTGCACATGCACACAGCTCTTTTGTCTTTTTTTTTATAAATGGGTCGTTTATATGCGTTACCATTAATTATTCATAACATAGGCTACAGGCTAAGTTGGAACATAAAAATAAAATAAGCCCCCTGTAACATCTTAACATCTCAACACTCTAAATAGGCCTGGGTACATACACTTAACCTTTAAATTGACCAACGCACCAATAAAAAAAAGGCGCAGTAAGTAGTGCTGTTGCCTCACAGCAAGAAGGATGCTTTGTCGCTGGTGCGAGCCTCGGCACAGTTGGCGTTTCTGTATGGAGTTTGCATGCCCAGGTGAAAAAAAGTGCACTCAAATACACTTATTTAAGTATACTTAGTACACTTTTCAGTAATGTACTAAAAGTGCTCTATTTTTGCACACTAATTTTGTACTTAATGTACTAAAAGATAGTATTAAGTATATGTTAAGATAAACTTAATACCATCTAAGTGCACGCAACTGTGCTATTTTGAGACACCCTGAAATTGAACTAAAATGTGCTTTTAACATACTATATCTGTATTTTAAAAATATATATTTAGTTACAACTAGAAATACACTTAAACCCTAATTTTAAACATTTATAAATACATTTAAAAATAGCTTAAAGCATAATAGTAATATATTAAAAGAATATACAAAATGTGAAAGCAGTGTGCTAAAATGCGCTTTATTTAAGTATACTTAGTACACTTTTCAGTAATGTACTAAAAGTGCTCTATTTTCGCACACTAATTTTGTACTTAATGTACTAAAAGATAGTATAAAGTATATGTTTAGATGTTTAACTGTGGACCACTGTGCTTCCCTATCGTCATTTAGCACACCGGCTGAAAATTTAATATCTACAGCCACTTTACGGTAAAATTTAAGACAATTTAAGACCTTAATTTCCCGGATTTTAATTTAAGACATTTTAAGACTTTTTAAGGACCCGCGGGAACCCTGTTAGTGTGCCTTAGTGACTGTTTAATGCAAGTTGTGAGTGAATTATTGATTGATATTGTCTGATCGATAAAGGCCAGTAACTCACTCTGACTCCCTCACTAGTGCACTGACTACTGAACTAGAGAGCTGATGGAGACTGGATTTGTGTCTTTCTGTTCATTATTCTGATCTTCAACAGGACAAACACAGAAGATCTGCTGAAGTGACTGAGCTCAGACTGTTATAAAGATGGCGTTTATTAAAGAGGAGAGTGAAGACATCAAGATTGAAGAAACATTCACAGTCAAACATGAAGAGACTGAAGAAGCTTTCAGAGTCAAACATGAAGATCCTGAGGAACAAACAGGTTGGTTTTCATCCTCAAACCTCAACATTTGATATTTATAAATTAATTTATTAAATCAAGCATGTCTCCTGCTGCAAAAGTAAATTTACATGATTTTGGTGTGTTTTACGTGTAGCTTTTTGGTTCAGATGCGAGCCAACCCAAGGCTATAGCATAGTTAACTTGTGTCTGTGCTAGTTGTTTGTCATCACCTTGGTGTGAACCAGTCCTAAAACAAGTGTGAGTAGTAAGTTCAATGATGGTGTAGAAAAATCAACTGTAAAATTAGCTCAAAAGGGAATATGAACTAAATTAACTAAAAATAAACTAATCTACTTCGACAAATCATCCTAACAGACTGTAACCTTTGACTCCACAACTGATATAGTTATCTAAGATTTGGTAAAAAACACTTCAGTAGTTAAGCACGGTAACAAGATCTAGTTTAAGGCAGCCAGTTCATAAACATTAACATGCTGCTTTTTTATATACAGCAGGGGTGCTCAATCCTGTTCCTGGAGATCTACCTTCCTGTACAGTTTAGCTCCTACCCTGATCAAACCCACCAATTAATTAGGACCTGAAATCCACTTGATAATTACAGACAGGTTTGTTTGATAAGGGTTGCAACTGAAATCTGCAGGAAGGTAGATCTCCAGTTAGTTTAGTTTAGTTCCAACCCTAATTAAACACACTTGATCAAACTAATTGAGTCCTTCAGGCTTGTTTAAAACCTACAGGTAAGTTTGTTGGAGCAGGGTTGGAACTAAACTGTGCAGGGCTTCGGCCCTCCAGGGATTGAGTTTGACACCCCTGGACTATTCTAACACAAACTAACAAGGTTAAGAGTGAGATGGTGATTAACCCCAAGTTTTGTAAGACATAACCAAGTCAGTCCACCTATAATCAATTTAACCCTTCTACTGTTTCTTAGACATGGTTACATGTCACTTTATACTATACTCCAGCAGAGTATGAATCTGGAAGGGTTATTGCATTTATTTTGTTTTAATTGTTCTGTGGGGCCATTTCTAGGTGGGTTGGCTAGTTGTCTTCCTTCTCTGGAGTGACATCTCGGGATGCCTGCTGTAGTGGAGTCTTGTAGTTTATTTTTGAGGCAGCAAATGACTAGTCATGTTGAGTAGTTTTGCAGGACAACTTACCTTGAACCTTGTCGTGAAGAGAGATGGGAAGGTTTGAGGTCATCTACTCTCATCCCATCTTAGTTTGTGTCCTAGTCTCTGCTTTCTGTTTGCTGGAATTCTGCAAAGGAAATATAGCTGGGCTGTGCCTGAAACCTTGTGCTGAGGTAGAGCTGATCAACCATACTGTGTTTGTGTGATGAGTTGTTAAAGGTTTAAGAGTTCATGTAAAGGTTCTGGTCCCTGATAGGGCTCTGACAATGAGGTATTGAGGTGTGAATCATCAAATGTCAATCCATGTGATTCCTTCACATAAGTGTATAACACTCAACAGCATAAATGAATATGACTTGAATATGATGCATTTGAAAATTTATGAAAGGAATAGAAAGAGATTTACTTGCTCATCCCAAATAAGAAATACATTTGTGACACGAATCCATAATGTCATGCATATTCATGATCAATGCATTGTTTAAAAGATGGGTTTCACGAGTCATACAAGTTACGATGTAAAGGTAAATTTGATTTAAAGTCCATTATCATCATTTAAAGATGATTTGATGACTTTTAACATATGGTAAAGGTTGATAGATTTAGTAGACTATTTGTTCCTTGTCTACAAGTAAATTCTTGGTCAGGCGTGCCCAATCCTGTTCCTGGAGATCTACCTTACTGTAGAGTTCTGCAGCAACCTTGATCAAACACACCTCTCTTTAATTATGTGCTCACTCAGATCCTACTTAGTTGGTTCAGTTGATCAGGGATGGAGCTGAACATTCCAGGATGGCAGATCTCCAGGAACAGAATTAGGCACTCCTGGTCAAGGTCAATTCCTTGTCTGGCATAAGGGTTTCTTAACTTTCAGTTTCTTCGAGTGATAAGGTAGCCTAGGTACGAGTGGATGTTTGTGGTTTCGGTGACCACTTGACATGAGCTGATAATCAAATCAGCGGAAAAATTTGATCACAGCGCTTCTGTGTGGAGTTTGCATGTTTTCCCCGTGTTGGCCTGAGTTCCCTTTGGGTGCTCCGGATTCCTCCACAGTCCAAAGACATGGGAAATTCTTTGGTTGAATTGTATACCTAAAAATTGTACAAGTCAATAAGGGTTAACTATATAGTATCGTTTCAACTGAAAATGGTTACTGTCCATTTTGACACCTATGGGTTTTTTGTCATTTTTGTCTCCAAAGAAAACCTGATGCCAGTCAAAGAGGAGAGTCAAGATCAGAACAAAGTAGAAGAGAAGGATCAGCATGAGGAATGTCTGGATTTCAGTTCTG